TTGCTCTTACTGGTCAAAATGGGATCTCGGAAATCTTCACGGGAGGCTGCAGGCAGCCCAAGCGGCTCCTGTTTGCACCGGTTGCCCTGCAGAAGCCAGGGGGTTTGAGTTCTGGACACTGCTGGATGACGGCTCATCTCCACCACTGGCCCTTGGCTGTTGTTCTGCACTGCTTCCCTTTTCCACCATCCCATAAAAATGTTGTTCCTGTAAATGTTTTGAGCACTCCTCTATCCCAAATACCTAGCGGCAGATTTCCTGCCCGCTTACCCTCCCTATTCCTAAATCCCAGGTGCTTGTGGGCCGTGGTCAGGGTGGGAGCAGCGCCTGGTGCCGCTGGTGTCAGAGGGGAAAAAACAGCCCCCTGGGGTCTGCGATTCTGGATTTGTAACTTTCCAAACGATTTAGGTGACGTTAGGCCCAGTAAGACTAAATCACGCGTAAGCGATGTCAGTAGTTGACCTCTTTGGTGCTGTGCCTCCTGGCTCCTTCTAGCTGGACCATGCGAACGTGCTGGGGGGTAAAATAGGGGATCCCAAATACCTGTGGGTAACCCGGTGCTTTGGGCTCGCTAGAGATGATGCCTGGGCCAGACCTGGGGAGGCAGGACTGAGCTAAAGAACACCTTAAGGGAGAGGATCCAGGTTGGAGCAAGCTTTTAAAAAAACGGCTTCTCTTCGGCCCGCTTGCGGCTGTGCTTGGTGGGGAACGAAGAGGCAGCGGCACCGGGCAGGGGTGGGTGTAGACGTGGCTGCGGGAAGCGCGCCCTGGGCATTGGGATGGGTCTGGTGCAGAGCCCCAGCGGGTCGCTGGATATTCCTGCCGCCCCTCTGCTGCTTGGACCTGGGCCCTAGAGACCAGAAAGAGAAAATGGGATCATCCTGGCATCATCACCCTGGCATCATCATCCTGGCATCATCCCGGCATCATCATCCCGGCATCATCATCCCGGCATCATCATCCTGGGGACAGGCATGGCCCTGACGGCGTAGCTGGCCGTGCCGTGGCTGGACCTTCCCTCCCAGCTCCCCCTCTGTTAGGAGAAGGTCTGTGTTGGTGGGCCGGGGCTTGCCACTGGTTTCTCCAGTGTTCACTTCTCGCAGGCCTTGTGCCAGGCTTCGGGTTTGTTGAAGTCCCTCCACATCACGCGCAATGGAAGGGAAGTGTGAGTTCTTTGCGGTCTCTAGCACCGAGTGCTTTTATGTAAGGTTTGACTTGCTTGTCACCCACTTTCTTCTAATTTTGTAATCGCTCCCATCTCCAGCAGGATAAGTAAGTGTGTGGAGGAGACCAGGCCGATGGTGTGTGGAGGAGATGGAGCTGGGATGGAGGGAGAGCCCCCAGAAGGCTGCAGAAACTGCCGATCCCAGACGTGTTATTTCTTTTCCTGACCAAGCAGCACATGTTTTGTGTCTAAATATTTTTATCATCTTGCTCCAGTGTGAAAGTTGTCTCTTGACAAGCTCCCTCTGCTTGGCTCAGGAGCTGCAGAGAAAAAAAAAAGGCGATTGCCTGCAGAGTTTTGTCAGCGGTTCTGCCTCGGGAGGAGAACCCGGGGGTTTGGCAGGCAGGCGGCAACCCTGGCCGCTGAGATGAGCGCCCTGAATACCCCTCCCTAGCGCCCAGTTCCCTTTTAACTGACTCGGGCATCGTGCTGCCAGCCCCGGAGGGTTCGCGTGCCGTTTGCGAGGCAGAGGAGCTGACGGGGAGAGGCAGGACCGGGGCAGCTCTGCTTACCCCCCCGAGGGCTGAGGCAGGACAGCGTCGCGATGGCTGGAAATCCCCCAGGAAGGAGGGAGCTCCCCTTTAGGATGGAAGGAAAGCACGGGGGGGTGTTCCGGTCATCCGAGCAGCAGCCTTGTCTGTCAGAATCCCAGAATCCCAGCATGGCCGGGGCTGGCAGGGCGCTCCGCAGCTCACCCGGCGCCTGCTCCAGCAGGGTCACCCAGGGCGGGGGGCTCAGGACACCCTCCG